CATGGCTTGTTTCTAGCCCAATTTTTTCTGTCAGTTTTAATTAAAAGAAATAACATATTGTTAATATTTGCAGCTAGAGTGAGCTATTATGTAAATTGAATCCTCTCAGATTGTGATTAGATTTCACAGCAGAAGAATGCACAACCTCTGTCTGGTTACCAATTCCCTTTGCCATTATTCTGGATTCCTTCAAGATACCAGAAGTTTTTTCATACCCGTGGGATATATATGTGGATTGCCACTTGCTTCAGGTCAGATTTTTCTTAAATGGAAACTGGCTTTGGCAGCTTTTCATTTGCACTCACTTTTAGAAAAATCATCTTGCCCATTCCTTGTTCTGGTTGGCTCTAATTACTACTCGCTCCATGGAATGGGTGACAAATGCCCCCAGAAGAATATTCTTTCCAAGCACCGAATGTCAAATCATTAAGGAAAATAATCAAGCAGAGCTGCTAAATACCTGGGCACCTCTCCAGAATCTACTAGAATAGGATTTTAAAACATTTCTGACATCTACTGGAAAGAAATCACAATACCTTATTGCAATTTTTTTTCATTTGAAAAGCCTCTTCAGTTCCAGGAGGAATTGTTATTAAAATAGACTTGGAATGAATGAACGAGTTTGATATGTATGCTGGATCAAGCCAAGGAGATGGAAATAACTAGTATCATTGTGAGATGTAATTTTATTTTACTCATTTTCCTGGAAGTGCCCAAAATTGAAATGAGGAGAAATTTAGACTGAAAAGACCTGAAGTATCTCCAAATCATTCGAAGGGATGAGGTGATATCCCAGAGCAAATATTGTCAAATCATTAGGGGTTCGCTAATTGGTAGACCTGTATGGAACTGTATTCTAAGCTCACAAGTTCCCACAAAACCCCATTTTCCAAAAATTGAAAGAAAGAAAAGAATGTCTTGAATTGGATAGGGAAAGGAATTGTGTAAAATAATGTCATATAAAATTTGACACACCATAGAGATATGGAATGCATACTCATCAAGATGATGTGGAACTGAAGCAACAACCCCCCCCCCCCCCCCCCCCCCCCCCCCCCCGCTGCCCTTGCTTTGGCTATACTAAATCAAGCTGGTCTATCAATTGGGTTAAGGAGTGTGTCCATCCAGGTCCTGGTATTCAATGTATATGGATAATACTGAATGAAGAAAGCTACTTAGCTTTCAGATCAGCTATATGTGGAAGAGTAAACCTATCCTGAATTCTTTCCCCCCATAATTTTCATTTTCTTGGTCTGCGTCATGGAGCTGGCAAATCCATTCTTGGTTTTAATTTGGACTTTAGGGGAGCTATCCTAGACATTGAACTTGTTTTGTTTTGAAGATAGGATGTTGGATCATTCCTTCAAAGTTCAGACTAAAAGTCAGAGTAAATAAACCACCTCACTGCCATAGAAGCTATCAGCTGCTTCTGAGGTCACCTAGAACAGTGACAGTGAACCTTTTAGAGATGGGGTTCCCATACCAAGGTGGCGGAGCACTCAGGAGAGGGACAAGAGGGGGGCAAGCGGAGGTGGGTCCGGGAGTACAGGCGGCAAGCATGCGAGTGAGGGGTGCTTAGAGGAAGCTGACTTCATACCTTGATTTGCAGCTAAAAGAAGCATTCAAGATTATATACACTGCTGTGTAACATATTATGAAAAATGCATAATTACATGAAAATAATAGCTTATTTGTATTGCACGTTGTTGTTTTTGAGTGCCTTTAAGTCATTCAACATATGGCTACCGTGAGGCAAACCTATCACAGAGCTTCATGGGGCTAAGACTGCGTAACGCACTCAAGTCAGACCCAGTGACCGAGGAGTGAATTAAATTCTAGTCCCCAGAGTTGTAATCCAGTGATCAACCATGACACCAATTTGAATCTAATAAAATGAGATGTATCAAAAATGTGATTGGTAGCCATACCTCCTTTCAAAGATTTAGGTTTGCCTCCATTTGTGGACCTGGAGTACCACAATTGTCTTTTAATTGGCTGTAGCAGTTACAAATTGCCTTTAGTTGATCCCACAAGCAAAGCTTCTAGCCGTCAGGCTAATTAAAAACATTAGGTAATGTTCAAGGCTGTGACACATGCATTCAGATAGCTGTCTTCAACAAGGTGCCCTCCAGCATGGTCTGAGGGTAATGGAAGTTGTAGTCTCACACATGTAGAGGGTGCTAGGTTAGGAAAGAAATAATTTGTTTTGAAATTGTACATTTTCTACTCCTAGTATACTTGTAATTATTTTTCTCACTAGTAACCCTATTTTCACAGCTTACAGATATCAATAAACTGACCATAATACTTGCCTTTTTTAATTCAGTGATTAAATTCAACATAGATGCAGTACTGTATGTCAGAACATATCTGCCTACTGTTAGGCACAGAGAAGTGGCAACAGATTTTAGGTGTCATGAAAGGAAAGCAAATAGTTATCAAATGTGTTATGATAGTGTTTTTACTGCTAGGGATGAAAAGAAAAACTTGTCAGCTTTTCTGCCTCCTGTGTCAAAATAATTTGTCGGCTTTTGACTGCTATAGGCCCTGACTACAATGGGTAATGAGTGTTAGTTGTTATATTGCCACAAGCAGCAAATACCTTGCATTTCCCTTTTTGTATGTAATAGCTACAATATTTACTATCTAGCTTGTGGGTTACGTGGTGGTAAAAATCATGGCATAGTTAAGCTTATTACATGTAAATCCATACATTCTTGATAACATCTAGAAAAAAGTTTGAAGAAGTCACCATTTGCTTCCAAAGCAGAAAAACTGATTTTACAAAGCAGCCACGTTTCATTAAATTATATTAAAAGAAAGTAATTACAAATAACTTGTTACTTGCTGTTACCCCATTTTTCAAGTAATGAACATGTTTAAGTAATATTGCAATAGTCACTTTAGGAGTAAAATGTCATTCCCTTTTTCATAAAGCTGTAACTTTTAAATACCACAGTTGGTGCCCCACTTTTACAGGTTTCACATTCATGAATTTGATTATTTGCAGCTTATTTGCCTCTCTGTCTGTTGCTGCCCTATGCCAGCAGAGACTGCAAGTCTCATAAGAGTGAGGTTTGTAAATCCCTATTAAAATTGCCCAGGGCAGCAGCAGAGGCAGTGGATTAGAGTGAAGGGGGCAAAGAAAACATTGAGAGACTGGGTGCCCAAGGACAACAAAGCAATCATGCAAGGGGAAAAAATTGAGTACTCCCACTGCATGGTTGCCAGCTACCTTCCTCCCCACCCACCTTTCCCACAGACACAAGAAATGTAGTGAACAACTGGGCAAGCAGAAAAGGGAAAGGGCCCTATCCCCCTTCCCTTTGCCCACATGAAACAGACACACACAGCAACAGGAAAGGAAAGGTAGGGAGAGTGAGCGAGAGGGCAAAGGAAAAGACAGGGGCAATGGATCCCCCTGACGGGTAGCCCCCACAGACCATGTAGTGTTACCCCTCCCTATAGGCATTCACAGTTTTTCCACTTTCATAAGGAAAGGATAACATCCTACCTTCCACAAAAATGGAGGACTGACTACTTTGACGTTGTGTGACCTAATGAATGGTGAAGAAGAAATGTCATGATTCCATATTATGCCTAATGCTGCTGCTTTGCACTCTCTTTTGGGACCTCATCACATTAGCCTTGGACTCTGTCCTAGGATTCTTCCAGGATGGAATCAGGACAGAGCCTTCCAGAGCCCATGACATGATGCAGGGCTTCATGCTAGAAGCGTCCTAGAACAGAACCCAGTGAACACTGGAGGCTTAGCATGTTTGCATTAGGTAGAATGGGGTCAATGCAGGAGGAAAAGGGGTGACAACACTTTCCTCTGTGTGTGGGGAAAGTGATGATACAGGGTGCAGGATGGCGGTTTCTCCTGCTAGCCCACAGATTCAACACTCTGCCTGGTGAATCCCCCCACTGTCACCCACATTAGGGACCTCTGTGTGATGAGATCTTTTCCAATGGTAGCCTTAAAATAGGATCCAGTGCTTTTGAATGTTTTTTATTGTAAGACACATAAAAATACACTGGTTGTGAGAATGACAGTTGGTAGCTTCTGGTGCGTATCTGTTTAAAGCACTTGTAACCTATTAAAACAAAAGATGGCTGGATATTGAAATAAGTGATTAGGTTGAACAGACCGTAACACAATTATAAACTGTTGAGGGGGAGGAACCAGGAAATGTTACTTAGTTACACATTCCATAGAATCATAATAGAATAATAGAGTTGGAAGAGACAACATGGGCCATCTAGTCAAGTAGGGGATTTAGGATATCAGCAATCATTTTTGAATTTCAGCATCTTCATCTAAATAAGAATGTCCAAAATTTATACACTATTTTATCTCCTTTTCAGAGGGCAGTGGCAACCTAGTTTAATATGTTTTCATCTATCATGACTTACCACTAGGAATCCCAGGAAGTCAAATTTCCGAGGGTTCTCCTATGGGCAATCTCCTTTGCATACATGCCCACATACATACAGCTGTTCACAGATCCTCCAATTGGGGCAGCATGAATTAAAGTTTCAACAATGAAGTTTGTAATATAAATTTCCCCTTAGGTATAATATGCCTATGTTCTCGAAAAGAAAAGGTTTTGAACTACAGCTGACCACAGGTCATACTGACTGGGGGATTCTGGGAGTTATAATTCCGCAAAAAGTAAGTTATACACACCTCTTCTGCTTTGTCTCTTTGTTGATTTGACGGCAGGGCTAAGTCAGCAGATACTTGACATTTTGAGATCATGAAAACGTCTGAATCCAACTGTCACAGCACTGATGCATGGAAATAATTTGAAGCAGTTCTGGGTGGTGGGAAGTTAACGGGAGCAATAAGAGCACAGTTGAGCTTGTTATTGGGGGGGGGGGGGGGCTGTTAAGTAGATGTTTCCTCCCAAAGGCAAGTTCTTCCAATTTCATTTGGAGTAAAAACAGCCTGAAACAAGCTATCTGTTTGTCATCACACTTTTTTTTTCTTTTGTCAGGTGCAAGTGCAACCTTCATGCCACCGGCTGCAGAGAAGAAAACAAAAAATTGTTATGTGAATGTGAGCACAATACAACAGGTCCAGACTGTGGAAAATGCAAGAAGAATTATCAGGGACGACCTTGGAGCGCAGGCTCATATCTCCCCATTCCTAAGGGCACTGCAAATATCTGTGAGTACTTAATGGCCCAACAGGACAACTATGGCAAAAACATATTTCGAACAGAGGGACAGAAAAACATTATTAACAATACTTGTGATTCAACCATACAAATACTTAAGATGTTATGCTTTCAAGGATACTAAAATCCTGACAGTAACTTCAACTGTGTTCGGTGGAAGGTTGCCTAGGTAAAGCTAAACATGCTTAGAAATCTAAGCTACACATCAAATCTCCATACCTGTATTTTTAAAAAAAAACATCAAAATTGTGGCATGTACTTTTATGAAATACCCACTGCAACTCTACACAAATCTACTCAAAATTCCCTACTAAGAGCGCATCTACACTGACCATTTGAGTCAGTTTCAAAACAGTATTGAAAAAAAATGGTTTCATTATGCTAAAGCTTGCCAGGGCAGACAGGGTACAGACCATGCCATAAGGGTGGTCACGGGTGTCAACCACAGGGCCTAAATTTCCTTCCTACTACATGTATCATAGCACATACCAAGGTAACATTCTTTGAAGTATTACATAATAGTTTGATAATTCAAACTCTTTTTTTAAAAATCTCCCATTCATAGGATGGCCATCTATGAAAACCCAATCCACTGATAACAACTGTTTAAGCTATTACAGTTTTGTCGCTCTCTTTCTCTGAAAAGCTAAAAATATCACACATGGTTCTTCGTCCAATTTATGATTACAACCCTTTGGCAATCGTTAGGCTGGGATAAGATTAATAATCCAAGGTCTTGTGAATTTTCATAGCTGAGCAGGTATTTGGTCTTGGATCTCTATAACACTTATCATAACACAACACTGGCTGTTATATACAGTGTTCAGTTCCATCCATTCATGGTCAGGTACACATAACTCCAAATAAAAGAGCAGAAATGTTATCATTTGACCTTTTATTTGTTACCTGATATTAAGGATCTAACCCATTCTTAAAATGTAAAAGAGAGTTGTTCTTATGTTTTTGTAGTGGTCTCCCCATAAAAAATGACTTCTTGTGGAATTGGGAAGCCACTGTTTTTATTAGCTTTAAGTCAAGAAAATAGTCTTTATCAAAATGTAGCCAATGCTGGATAATTCAACTCTTATATACCACATTTCATTGCATAATAGTCACACTTTTCCCCACATTTTGCAGGGGAAGAGCATCTATGTGACTATTATGTGATGGTGACTATTACTTGGTGAAAAAAGCCCAATTTAAGGGACTTCTTTCACAGTGTAATAATCAATCAGAGGGTGCAGCAAAAGGTAAAAGTCCAATTTTGCCTTCCACAAAAAGGTGATACAACTATTATGTGATGGCGACTATTACATTTCCAAGATTTGAAGTGTCTATGAGTAATAAATAAAAACAGCTCAAGACAACACACATTTATTTAAAAACAAATTAAAACATTTTTCAAAGTCACACAATTTTAAAAAGCTCTAGCAACAATTTCCAAATTAGTTTTTGAAACAATGCTGTTTTGCTCAATTTTTTCCAAATATTTATTTCACAAATGCAGACCATCTCTGAAAAATCAAGAACAACCATTCTCCATCTTGCCCATTAATGAGGGGAGGGGGCAGATTTTTCATCCTTCCTCATAAGAATATGACAATTTACATCTGTACTTTCCTGACAATTTCAATAAGAGACATTTGAACCTGTTGTTTGATGTTCTTATTCAAATCAATGGAAGTCAGATGCATTTAGCTTTGGGGATGAATGGTTTTCATACATATGTCCCTTCTACTAATAGTGTTGAGAACAGCACAAAGCAGACTTCAAAATGAGGGCAGGATGTGGTATATAAAGAGAATAGAAGTGTACTAAAAAGCAATGAATTCTGAGATCCGTTCTGCCATGCCTGGAAGTGAGTTTTACATTAATTCATATCCTTGCTAATTTGACTTATGTACCTAAATCCCTCGGAGAAGGAGGGGAAAGAACAAACAGAGAATAAGCCATCAGCTCTTTTGCGGGTTAAAGTTATTAGCTGCTTTTATTATAAGTCTATAGTTCTGGCTTGTATAAATGTAAAAAAGCTGGCTTTAGAAATAACTATTCACCAAAAAGTTATTTTCAAGAAACAGGGTTATGTGCCACAGTTAAATGAAGGGTTTTTTAAAAAACAAGAAAGAAAGAAAAAGAAAAAAAACACACACAGCAGCAGTACCAGCAATGTGCCATGTTCCGAATGTTATCTCACACTTCAAAGCAGCAGCTGCAAGGAATCAAACCTCCAAAATGAATATCACAGGAAGCAGGACCTTATCAAGTTTAATGTGAAAGTAATAGAGCAAGTAACAAACCATGAAGTGTGGGGGGCATGAAATTATGATAAAATTTTTCCCAGGCAGCAGGGAGAAAAGAACCTTCAAAAAGAGGGGGGGGGGACATTTTGTAAGAGCATTAACTTTTAGAAAAAGGAACACTTTGGATCACAGAGTTAATACTTTAAAGCTATGTTCAAGATACATGTGAAAATTCACAGGATTTGCCCTCCCCCCCCCCCCCCCCAAGTCCCTATGGAGAAATTCACAGCCTTGGAAAGGCTTCTAAACTCACTCAACTTGAAGCTCAGAGAAATAAAGTTCCTCTGTACCCATCTTGGTTGTATTTATCAATGGTTTCTTGAAGAGAGGAACAACTCAAGATTTTTTTTCTTAATATAAGAATTATTTTTGCTGACAATGGAGTCCTTTTTTATTTATGCAGGACCCTACTTACTTATTCTTCTAAAGTCATATTATTACCCTGTGCAAAAAAGCTTCATAGTTACAGAAAATTCCAAGAAGTAGAGACATCCTTACTTTTTCTGAAGGATTACAACATTTCTAAGCATCTTCATTTTCTCTGGTTTGCCACTCAATTTTGAAGAGTGACATTCAAATTGCAAAAACCTGCACCATGTTGAGAAGTGGATAGGTACCTATAGCCCTTGGATGCTGATGAAATATACCTTTTGCCTGACCATTGTCTGTGCTAACTTTTGGGATTTCAAGCCTGGAATTTGGAGGGCCAAATTTTTCCCTACTGTGATCTTTAAAGAATAAGTGATCTTCAACTCCTTGTTGATCATATATGTAACCTAAAAATGATTCCATTGGAAAGCCATTGGTAATGGGCAGGTTTCCCCAGTTAGCATTTTCTCTTTGCCTAAGATGGAGCTGATATATATTGGACTAGATCTTACACTGCAATATTGGACTGGCTCTTACACTGTCTACATTGCCATATAATGGCGTTTCAGAATGAAGTTTAACTGCATTGAACTACAGTATATGGCAGTGATGGGCAATCTTTTGAGCTTGGTGTGTCAAAATTTGCCAAAAACCTGAGCATAACTTGGGTAGAGTGTTACTTCGAGAAAAAAACCATAATTTTGCAATATTTATAGTTTAAATAAGAAAAATGTATAATCCATGCTGAGTTATGGAGTGAACAATGCTCAAGCGTGCAGATGTTAAATTTGCAGAGCCTTTTACAAAGGCCGCATGTGTCTGTGTGTCATCAAAAATAGCCATTCGTGTCAGTGCTGACACGCGTGTCACAAGTTCACCATCATGGTTATATGGTGATTTAGACATATACCATCAAGTTCAATGCAGTTAAATTGCATTCTGAAACTGCATTATATAGCAGTGTAGATGGAACCCCATATAATGTAGTTTAAACTGCATTATATGTAATCATTATAACATAGTTCAAACTCATGTAATAAAGTTAAATGTAGTTCAACTGTGTTAAATGAATCTACATTGACCATGTAATGCAGTTTTACACTGCGTTATATGGTAGTGTAGCTAGGGCTCACGTCAGGCTAATTTCTAGAAAGAGCAGCGAAGGTGAGGTTGATGCTCTGGGGCATCTATGGTTTTGTGTTTTACCCTAAAAGTAGAGTGAAAATGGACAGTGGGTAAGATCCAGCAGTATCCGTTCTGTAGCAGAGTAATATCCTCCAACAGAGAATTTCACCTCCATACTTCACTGCCCCACTTTTTCTCAGTCTATTCTGGAGAGCTGGAAAACCCTTCTGAAGAAGATTGAGGAAAACAAAGTACTTAAAAGGAGAGAAAATAAGAAAGATTTTTACATGATTGAAAGTTTGGGCTTTTAGGATATATCTCTTTAACTGTCCAAGATGTAATCCGCTTTGATTTTGTGAGCAACCGGTTGATCTTACACAGGCTGCTTCTACATAGCCACATAATCTGGTTCAGAATGTGAATTAAAGAAATCCAGTTCCACTCCAGCAAGTCTCCACACACACTAAGAAACGTGAAAAAAGGGCCTGGGGCATCCACAAAACTCCCCTCATGCCAGATCAATCCAACAAAATGACATAATTTATTTCTTACTCCGTTTGGACAAATGCACTGAACTGCAGCATCTTATCAGATGAGAATCAACAATGTGTTGCCCCATTGAACACACATATTTGGGGTGTTCATTTTCTAGCCACCCCTCCTCAAAATCCACATCGTTCTGGATTTTACAGTATGTGTTGATGGGGTCATACTGTCCAATTTACATAGCTATCCAGCCATAATGACCAACCAATTAATCTTATACAGCCAGTCCCTGACTTACAAGCATTTTACTTACAAATGACTCACAGTTAAGAATGGGAATGACACAACAGGAAGTGAGAGAAATCTACTCCTAGGAAGGAAAGTTCCCTCCTGAAAGAATTATCAAGGTCAAAAGGTGTCTCACCTAAAGATTTATCCCCAATCCTTGTGTCCACAACAAGCCATTTTTTTCAAAATCCAATAGTCACCGAGACAGAAATTGCAGTGAAATCTTCTGAATAGGGACACAAACAGCAAAACAAACACCACAGGGGTGTTAACCATTATTTATCAACTCAAGCTAAAATATACATATTTTTGGCTGGAGTTACACTTAAAAATGTACCTGATCTGACTTGATTTAACTTAAGGACAAATCTACAGAACCTATCTTGTTCATAACTTGGAGGGTGCCTGTAAACCCAATTTGACAGGGACACCCCCAATTAATTCTCTGCTGTTCCGCTTTTTCAGCAACTTTTTAAACATCTCAGTTTCTCTGCTTTTTCCACTTCTTTGTATAGAAGTAGTTTTCTCTCAGTAAAATTAGCAGCAAGGAAGGAAGGAGCAGAATCTTGCCCAAATTGCGGCAGTCTCTCCTAGCTATCTTGTCCTATCTTGATCAAATATCGCTTGGCCTAATGTGCCCTGGTTTTCATTTGTGAAATGTTGGTGAGTATGATCTTACACACCTAATTTGAAACTGGTTTTCTCTCTTCTATTCATATCATTCTATCTGACCTCCAGTGCTTTTGGTTGTAGAAAGGATACTCTGTCTTTCAGAGGCAAGCAACTACCATATTTGACTACAGATGAGAAAACACACTGTGCATAGTTATTCTGATAAGAAGCTTATGATGCATAGCAGATAGCCTCACAAGAATTGAGTATAAGGATCCTATCGTCCAGAGGAAAACAAATGCAGGAGTTTTAACCTGCAAATGAAAATGGAGCACAATTAGTTTTCCCCTCAATTGTATGATATAATTTATTTTTTGAGTCTTAAAATTAACAATTTATCATAAGTATAAACAGTTCTAGATTGATGCTGAGATTGCACCATAACTAGCATTTGAAATATTTGTCCATCTGTTAACATTGTTCATATAATTGTTAATCTTTTGCAACCCACAGCCAAATTCTTTTGGTAGCTAATAAAAACAGTTTATGGTGCACATTTTTATTATATTTTAATTATTTTTCCTATATAAATCTGAATTATTTTTTCTCTTTGAAATCAATAAAAGGTGTTAGTGTTAGTTTCAGGTGAATCCATAATTTTTCTATGAGAATTCAATAATATGTGCTCAAGTCTCTTATTAAACTCAATGGAATTGTAATACTATGTAACAAGGGTGAGTTCTTTTAATTGATTTTACCACCTCTTCACAAGGCCCTTTTGGGCCATGCCATTGCACTACTAAAGGGAATACATGCAGGGTGGCTTGTGGCACCCTGAACGCACTCCCTCCCTCCTCCCTTCATCACACAGTGGAGATGGGACAGGATGCACTGGCACCCTTTCCCTACCCTCCCCCCCACCAGAAGACTGAAAAGGTGGCAATGTGCATTGCCTCGCAACCCTTTCTGCCATCGAATGGCAAAAAGGGGAGGAAAGTGCGAGCAGCTCCGTTGGACCTCCCCAAACAACACTTTCCTCCCTATAGCTGTGGAGGAAGCACCTTTCAGTGCTTCCACCCCACTTTGGGAGGAATGTTGGGCTGCTATGTGTTGTGTGATGGCACTAAGCCATGTGATGGCACTAAGCCCCATCCAAGCCACATATAAAAGTGGCAAAAAGGGGCAAAAATGACTCCTGTGAAGATGTCCTTAGTGTGTGGACAAGTCATTTTCCTATCAGTGAAATAATGTTAAATGTTCTGGATATGTATACCTAACCAAACTTCTCTCTTTTCTTTTCAGGTATGCCCAGTATTTCCAGCATTGGTAGTAAGTAATAAAGAGCAGAACTAGCCCAGCTTTGCTTTTTGTTCAGGCTCTCAAAATCTATTTTTCCAGTATCTATTTCTGTTTGTTTTAAAAGCATGCTTTGTAGCAATTGGAAAAATATTACCAATCTTCCTCCTGCTAATCATAGATTGTTATATTCACTTCAGCGGGCATAGCTTCACATCTCATGCCACTGCATCCAATGGCAAACACAGATTTTATGATCACCAACAAAAGTGATGACAAATTAAAGGATTTAAATCAACCCAAAGTAATGTCTGTGCTAGAGGAATAAAGAAGGAACTACAGTTATGTTTTAAAATATAGAAGATACACTCAAAGAGAGATAATAAATTATCCTTTAAAATACCAATTACTATTCTAAGACTAAAGCAAAATAACAACTGGACTAATGTATTCCCAGACATATTGATGGTTCATAATATTTTACCTAAATTTGCCTATTCAACTTTCACTAATGAACAAAATAAATTGTCTTTCTATACTTTAAAATGAACAATACAATCCTACATATGCTTATTTTGAAGCAAGTCTTGTTGAATTCAATGGCACTTAATTATATGCAAATGAGCATATGATTGCAGCCTGAAATTTAAATTTTTTTGAAGGTTTAAAAGTTAGCATCAAGAACAAGTCTATCACGTTGTAACTACTGCTAGGGCCCATTGTTTTTAAAGATATGCCAACAATTCATAGATCAGTTTTTCCTGTGGAATTTGCAAATGTTTACTTTCGTAAACCACACAGACCCTGGGTAAGCATTCTGCTTTCATTTAGGAGCACTTGCCCATGATACAAAGTATTGTATGTCATCATATTTATTCCAAATATAAATGAGAACTTTCATCTTCCAGCTATTCCTACTTCAAAATATAACCTAGATGCTTTTGACCAATTTCGATAAAGTCTGAAGCAGAATAGCAATTTGGCTCTTTCAAAATTCTTTTTCAAACAGGGGTTTCTCCGTCCTAGTTATGATCATTCTCAATTTTTTCCCTACAATATGTGTCTACTTTAAAATATTTCAAAAGTGGCAAATGCATTTCTCCTCTTTTCAAGCACTGACTATATTGAATTATATATCCATCCACAATCCAGTCCATATTAATATATACATTAATTCTCCATCATTGTCATATTAAAAAACACCACTTCACCTATTTTTATGAAATTCAAAGGTGACTGCATTTAAGGTTCATAGTACTTGTTTAAATATATCCAAGACCTTTAATATTGCCTTTAAAACTGCTTTGATTGAATCAAAGGGATCATTTCCCTAGATGACATCCATAGTAATAAATATAATAGAGTCTTATGATATGCCTGTTTTAATATACCTAAAGGTGTTCCTGAGGGCTTATCATAGCAGTCTATGACTTATTCAGAGAATTTCCTTAGGAGTATGCAGGTAATGACAGCCCCTGTCAAATATCCCTTGCATTGAAACAATGCAAACCTTACATGTTCCTACACACTGTCCTGCAGTTCCCAGTAGGCTTTGTCCAAATAAACATATTGATCCCATTACCAATATTGTAGTATTTTATGACATATTCACTTCTGTATTTCATAAAAAGCTTTTATATTTTCATAAAGCATTTGTTTTAATCGATGTGTCTGCTATAAAAAGAGAAAGAGAAGAGCATGTATCAACTCATTCTTAATTCTTTCAGTAATTTCTCAGGTTATTTCTTTTAAAACCTTATTAGTGTTTGTAAATACATACATTTGCTGGGGTTAGCGGTGCAGGACTGCTTGAAACTGGGAAAGCCACAAATAAAAAGCACAATTATTTTATCTAAAAGAACACCATTCCAGAAATCTCTAGTTCCACCAACATGAGTCTCTGGTGAACTCCCATCAGAAGTTGTGTCCTTTCTAGGAATTTCTAGGTACTCCAATGTGACTCAGGCCCTTTCTACACTACCATATATCCCAGGATCTGATCCCAGATTATCTGCTTTAAAATGGATTATATGAGTCTCCACTGCCAGATAATCTGGGATAAGCAAATGATCTGGGATATTTTTGTGTGTCAGGAGCGACTTGAGAAACTGCGAGTCGCTTCTGGTGTGAGAGAATTGGCCGTCTGCAAGGACGATGCCCAGGGAATGTCCAAATGTTTTGATGTTTTACCATCCTCTCATGTTACCACATGGGGAGCTGGAGCTGAATGAGGGAGCTCATCACTGCTCTCCCCGGATTTGAACTCCAACAATTCCATCGATTGGTGGAATTTTCTGCTTCAGGCCTGGGATTAGATCCTGGGATATAGGTGCAGTGTGGAAGGAGCCTCAGTGACCAAATTCTCACATAGAGAATCGCATTTTGATTAAATCTGCAAATAATCAAATTCTCAATAAGCAAACTCATGAATGTGGAAGCTTGACTGGCAAATGCATAAAGATTAGCTGACTTTTCAAATTGAAATTGTTTTAGTTATCCATTCCTCTTTCTTTGAGACAAAAGATCAATTCAAAATCATATAGCAACATTACGGCACATCACTTTTATTACCAAACTTGCATCCTCAGATGATCCCACTTTACAAACCACTAGTCTAAGTAGTATATTTTATGAGCCTACTATTTTTTTCCTTGAGCGTGACATATTTTGAACACATGTCTGCCTTTCTCCACAAATCCCTCAGTGATTATAGCAATTATGAATGGCTTTAGATTTAAATTGCCTTAATTCATCCAAGAAACCAAGGTTCAGAACTGGAGGTAGCTAAAATAAATATCCCACTAAACATCACCAAATGCTTTTTCTGCATCTAGAAGCAATCAACTTTGTTTTCCAAATTGACATCCTTAATTATATTAATCATTTCTGGTTTTATTTAAGAGATATGACAGAATTTAATCTTGAAGAATTTTGAGTGTTGAATAATGTTTTCAATCACACATAATTAAGTAAAGCAGACATAAACCAAAATAGTGATGCAGGAAATACAACATATACACTTGGGCAAGCTTTCTTGGCACAAGTATAAGAACTTTAAGAACAATCCCAAACAGAGCCCCCCCCCCCCCATTTTCTCTTCTTTTCAATGGTTTAAGAGCACTGCACCAGAGCACTATAGAGATGCTGTGCCCGAAATTCCCGGTCCCTCTGTATTCAGTCCCAGCATATGCAAGATGTTCATCCTTTTTCCTCCTACTGCAGCCCTCCATTATGCCAAAAAGTTTCAAAGGATTTCCCAACCCTTTGGAGCTTGTTTTTAGGGGGTCTGCCTGTCCTAGAGGAATTAGAGTAATCCAATAAAAGTATATCATTCGGTCCTTGCCAAAATTACTCACTTCCTTGTACCCCATAATCACACTGTATATTATAATAATAACCATAATCATCCTATTTATTTATTATCTACCACTCTTTTCAGCTTGAGGCAGGGCACAACATAATCTGATAAAAGCACAAATGAAAACATGGTTAAAATACAACCATAAAAGAATATATTAAAACATACAAATATTAAAATATAAAATACAAAAGTTAAAACACAAAAAACATAGAGTATGATTTTAAAATGCATAGTATAAACTCTCTGGGTAGGTCTGCCAAGAGAGATAGGTCTTCAGATGCCAATAGCTCATTTAGCTCCATATCACTTGGAAATTTTGGTAGAGGTATAGAAAGTATGCACATGTTTCTTCTTCTCCATTGTGTATACTTGAAACAAAATATGGTGGAGAGAAAGATTAGTCCCTAAAGTAATTATTGTCCATCTTTTTCTGCAGGGGGGCAGGAAACCCACTCTGTTTTTATGGCCACTTTCCCCACAATTTTTCCAATTAATACAAGAGCTTTTCAAGATTCTAGGATCTGTTGTCAAGAGACCTTCAGTACCAAGAGAAGTCTTGTGGAATCAGGAACCACTGTGGGAAGAATAGCCACAAAATCAATCGGAGTTTCACAACCCCCAGTGCAACTGGGACACCAAGTGCCTTCATGTCCTCTCTGTTTTTCACAAACCATAAGCATAGAGCATATGGCTCACCTGCACTTAAGCATGTTAACTACAACTGAATTTAACTAGAGAGTACCAATGCATTCCTATCTATGTTTACTTAGAGGACCATCCTTCCGCTTGTATACAGGGGGACTGACTCCCTTCTGTGTTCAGGATATTTTTCCCCTTTAGTAAATGTTCAGAATCCATAGGATTTAAATAGTTTAGATTGTGCCTGAATTTTGTGCAATGCAGGGCCATTATATGCACTTTAGCAGCCAACAAAAGATTTGCAATACCTGGCATCCAGCTGAAAAGCAATTCCCTAATAATTTTACAGCTGCAATGCTTCTTATAAATGCACGGTCAGGTCTTTCCATTTATAAATCAACTCAGTTTTCTTCAGCTCTTAAATTGGCATAGGAATGATTTGTTAAGCACCATGCAGTATGTTAAATGTCATCAAAACTAGCTTTGGCTGAAATGCAAGTGGTGCTCTGTGTCCATTTTAAAAGTGATAGCAGCCATCCTCACCCTTTGCGGCCAGGTTTATTGAGTGAAACGGTATTAACAACATGCCAGATAAAGGTGTTTCATTTTTATTCATCAAATTCTTTCTGCCCCAGTGTCTTCTTCAGCACATACCTACCTCCAAATGCATAGTAATGTGATCCTTTTGAAGGCCTGACCATGAATTTGCATGTGTTATTTGATGCATGGCAAGGGGTGGGGAAGCAATGAAAGGAAGCCAAAGCAAAACTGTATTGTTTCTGCACTCACAAGGGAACAACAACATTGTCATAGCTCAACAGAAATGGATAAATGGTAAAAAATAGTTCTTATGCTACAAACTTGCTATTGTCTTGCATGCACTTCTGTGGTTGTGACATTCACTTTACACTCTCATATTGCCTTCTTCACCGCACTGCCATCTCTGAGCATCAGCAGATGTTGGCCTTTGGACTCTTAATAGGGAAACTCAAAAAGCTTTGGATTAATCGGAGGTGATCTGAAAGGATGAATT